ATGGATGCAAGTGGGCCCCCCTTGCCGAGGTCCGACCGAAGCTCGATCAACCAGGTGGTGGCTCCGCATAGATCCCCACCTCGGAGTCCTGCGCGCCAAGTCTTGCTAACCAGCCTCGAACGTATCCCTATCCCTAAGATGGGCGAGCAAAAAGCGAGGACAATCTTAGGGATAGGCCCTCAGAAACTGAGGGAATCCTTAAGATCGGCATCGAGGTGAGGTGATGTCAAACATAGGGATAGGGATATGTTTCAAACTGGTAAGTTCCCCAGGACCGGTGCTTCATCCTGAGTGTTTGTGCTGACGGCCCCGAGGCTCGGGAGGGGAGCCAGGAGGCCGAAAGCAGGGACAACCCTCCCGTCGCGACTTCTTGCGCAACGCGAGGGCGTCTGGGGAAGTGCAGGGCGCCCGGAGGCCCCGCGAGGCGGGGAAGTGCGGTGAGCGAGGCTTCCAGGTGTGAGGTGCGCGTGGCGGCCGCCAGTGCCGCGCGCCTCGTCCCCTCGCGGCGCGCTGGCCGCGGCGGATCGGCTCTTGCTGCGCTCTGGGGCGCGCGGCCCGCTGCAGCGAGGCGAGGAGGCTGGGGTATCGGGGAGGTGAGGAGGGAGGGAGGGAGGGAGGGAGGGAGGGAAGGAGAAGGGAGGGAGGGAGGGAGGGAGGAGACGGATCGGATCCGACGCCAAGGGGGGCATGCGTCCAAGTTGTGTAAAAAGTTAGACTGTCCTGGGACCGACTCAGCGGCCGCGGAATTCGGACCTCGAGTCCGCCCTGTGCTCCCTGCAGGCAGCACCCAACGATCACACAAGCGCGCAGCCGATCCAGCCGGGCTGACTCCAAGCTCAGAGTCCCAGTCTACGAATCGGAACCTGTTCAGTCCTAGCCCGCTTGGCGGGGGGATGAAGAGAGGAGGAGGAGGAGGAGGAGGAGGAGGAGGAGGAGGAGGAGGAGGAGGAGGAGGAGGAGGAGAAGGAGGAGGAGGAGGAGGAGGGAGAGGCTCGGCTCCTGGTGCTGGAAGCCCAAGGTGTCCAGGTAGGCTGTCATTTGGCCCTCTTGCATGGCCCGCCTGAACTCTTCCTCGGGCGGTCGCCAAGCATGAGATCGTGCTGCAAACCTTCAAGCATACAGTAGACACATACGATGATAACCTGTTTTTATCAAGCGGCATTGAGTGCCCCTTCGCGACATATTTTCAGCCAATGATGAGCACGTGCGCTACACTCGAGAGCTGTCAAATCACAAGTGCCTCGCTGTCACGCCGCAGAGCATGACCTATATCACACCTTGGGTAATATGCAGTCCCCCCGATGAGAACGGAGAACGGGGCCCCGAAACTCGACAGCACGTCGCCCCCTTCAAGCATGCAGCAGACACGTACGATTCTACAGCTTGCTACAAGAAATCTTGGGGCACCCCTGCCTCGATATACCTGAAGGTCCTAAGGTGCCGGAGAGCTTCTGTGGGTCCCTGGGGACATCGGGGCATAGACGTTTCCGTGGGGGCACCTGCTGGCAGCTTGGCCTCTTATCTGATGCGCCGATTTTGCTGCCAACGCACGACGCCACGGGCCCTCCGAAGGCGCCGACGCAGGCCGCGGGGCGGTCGCGGGTGGCTCGCGGGCGGGTCCCGGGCGAGGACGATGAACAACAGCACCAACAATAGCAATGATCTCAAGACTGGTCGCTCTTCGCTGCTCGTGCGTCATTCCAGATGTACGCCCCCAAGCCCTGGATACCTGCCACGTTCGTCTTCGATCGTGCCCCCTTTGAGGGTACATCTTCACTGCCTGCGAGCTGTAGCTGGCGCGGACTCTACACTAGAAGGGCGGATAATAAAGAGGGAAAGAACGAGAAGGAGGAGGAGGAGGAGGAGGAGGAGGAGGAGGAGGAAACGACGAGGAAGGGAGGCAAGAGGAAGCGAGGACGACTGAAGGGCGAAGGACATTCAGCGCGGCAGGGCGGACGAAACCAAAAGCCCCATTCTTGACAAGCGGACCCTGACGGGCGGGCCAGGCGCCCGGACCCCGCGGGCGAGACTCGCGGGCGGACCCCCGCGGGCACGTCGGGCGGACGGGGCGCGCCAAGCGAGCGGGCGGACCCCAGAGATCCGATGTCGTGATTTTTCCCATGCGGGGCCCCCGGAAGTCTCGACCCATCCCCCAGGGCCGGCTTTTCATCCCGAGCCGTTTTTTGACGGTCCCCGGGCCCGGCGAGGGCCCCCAGGGGCCGAAATTTGCGGAAAACCTCCGCCTTGATTTGTTCAAAACGTTGGATCCCCAGACATCCGGCGTCTCGATTTTTTCGAGGCGCGGGCCCCCAACCTCTCGACCACTTCCCCGGGACCGGTTTTTCATCCCGAGTCGTTTTTTGACGGTCCCGAGGCCCTTGAGGGCCCCCACAGGCCGAAAACGATGACACAGATCCGTCTCGACTCTTCCGAGACGCCAGATGTCTGGGTCTCTGGGACTCCCGAGCAGACGAACGGGGCGGGCCCCACCGGTCGGGCCCAGGCGGGCGAGCACGTTCACGGGCGGCCCGGGCGAACGGGCCCGCGGGGCGGGCCGGACGAGCCCCGGCGGGGCGGGCGGGCGGGGCCCGAGGCGCAGGCCAAGCGGGCCAGGCCCAGACGTCCAGCTGCTTTAATTTCTGGGGGTAGGAGGAGGAGGGGCAGGAGGAGGAGGAGCAGGAGGAGGAGCAGGAGGAGGAGCAGGAGGAGGAGGAGGAGGAGGAGGAGGAGGGGGAGGAGGAGCAGGAGGACTCACAGCCGAGCACCCCGGACAACTGCCCCCCCCCGGGGCCGGTTGTTCGCCCTGCGAGTCGTTCTGTGGACGCCCCCGAGGCCCGGCGAGGGCCCCCGGAGGCCGGAAGCTGCCCCGAGCCCGCCGCTCCAGTTTTCGGGGGAGCGCTGCCGATCTCAGGGGCACGTGTGCGGAGCGAGCGGGCGGGACTCCCAGGCGAGCGGACGCGCGGGCCCTCTCGGGCGGGCAGGCCCGGAGGGCGGGCCCTTATGTGCACAGCCGGGCCGCTGAAGGAAGGAGCGCGAGGTGAGGGACGAAGCCCCTTCTTGGGCCCCGTAATTAAGCGCCTCCGCGCCCCAGGAGGGCAGGGGGAGCAGCAGGGGAGGAGCCCGAGGAACAGTCGAGCCCCTTCCGAAGCCAAACTGTTCCTTCGCTCGGCGTCTCGACTGCACGGTCGGGTCAGGCGGGCGAACACCAACGGGCGGTCCTGGCGGACGGGTCCCCACGGCCGGGTCGGGCGGGGCATTGAAGCGGGCGGGCGGGCGGGCTTCCAAACGAGCGACCCGGCGGGCCACTTGCAGTCAGACGGATCGGGCGGGCGGGCCCCAGACGGGCGCGTCGGGCAGCGAGCGGCCCCAGAGTCGCATCGACGAGCCAGATCGGGTCGACGGGAGCATCGAAAATCGGCAGAAGTCGGCCGCCAAAGCGAAGTCGGCAAGACTCGGCAGGGCCGGCTGGGCGGACGCCGGATCGGAATCGAAATCGGCAGGCACGATCTGCGCGTCTGCTGGTGGGACTCGTTACGGAAGTCCTCGGGCGTCGATCGTCGTCGCAACCGTCGTCGTGGGTCGGCGAAGGTCGCCCGACGCCGTATAGAAGCTTGGCCGGCCTGGGGATCGAGCACTGCACCCCCCCCCCCCAGGGGGGGGCTCGGGTTTCACCAAACCTCCCCGAGGGGGAGTTTGGGGTTCGCAAGGGCGGGCTTCGCCACACCCCCTCCTGGGGGGGGAGCTGGGGAAACCCGACACCCTCCCCCGGGGAGGGGTTCGCACGGAGGGGTTTCGCCAAACCCCCCGCGGGAGAGGTTTCGCGCACAGCCAGACCCGTCTGGCGAAGCCCCCCCCCCTCTGGGCGAGGCCCCTCGGGGGCTCGTCCGGGGACGTCGGGGGCCCCTTGGGGGGCCCTCTGGGGGCGGGGGGTCTAGACAGCGAAGCCTCCTCCCTACTCCGTCCTCGGGTGGGATCCCTCCGAGCCGACGTCGCCGCCGGAGGCCGTCGTCGCCGCCGTCGAGGGGGGGGCGGAACCGCGTCCCAGGGCCCGCGGCTTGGCCGACCGCCGTGCTGGGCTGCGCCGAGGCAGGGATGGGGAGGGAGGGAGGCGAGGGAGGGAGAGGGACGGCGACGACGACGCCGGAGCGAGTCAGCATCGGAAGAAATCGGCAGAAGTCGGCTGCCAAATCGAAGTCGGCAAGAATCGGATCGGGCGAACTCGAAATCGGAATCGTGAATCGGAATGTGCGCATCGAGTCGGATCGAGTCGGAACCTTCGGAAATCTGATCGAATCGGCCCAGAGGAGTCGAAGCGAGCTTCGCAAATTGTGAAGATATGCCTCGGGCGAGAGCGCGATTCCTGAATGTCGGGAGCGCAGCGCCTGAGCAAATTGTGAAAAAGTCCCAGGCGAGAGCGAGATTTTTAGGTGTACTGCCAGGAAGTCTCGGGCGCGAGCGAGGTCCATACATAGATTGTTAAGAAATATCTGGCGGGGGCCGTTGTTGTTGTCTCCAGGGGGCAACAACGCAGTTTGAGCAGGAAGCCTTCCCCTTGCAAAGACAGGGTGCGAGCCCCAGGGAGGGGGGAAATTCAAATGAAAAACGCAATCAACACCTGGCAAGGTCAACAATCTCATACTTCAGAAATGAAAGTTCAACGGGAATCCGCACCGCAGAACCTCAATTCAATCACGCACCCAGGGACGGGTGTAAGGCTGTTCGGCACCCTCACTCCGCTTCAATGCTTTAGCATTACGCCCCAAATCTGAATTTTACAAGTCACCGTCTGGCTTCCTCGCTGATGTAGCCGTTGCCGTTCTCGTCTGCCCTCGTGCAGATCGCCATCAAGCCCTGCTCCTGCTCTAAACGCTTCTTCAAGAACAAGGTCGCTCTGTCGCTGCTGTCCTGCTGCTCCATCTGCTTCATCGCCGTCTCGACAAATATTCGCCGACCCAGCGGGGCCAGAGGCGTGTGCCGGCGCGGGAACGGAGAGAGCAGGGCTGAACCGACACGGCGTTCTTCGTTTTCGTGCTGCTTTCGTCGCCACTCGTTCTGTCTTCGAGCCGCCCCTGCTGCAGAACGAGGCCAGAGCGAGAGCGGCCCGCGACGTCGCCCCTGCCCGATGCCGGGGCCCTCGTGGCGAGATGCCTCGGGGCCCCCTTGCTTTTTTTTCTTTCTTCGCTGTGTGTGCAGGGCTGCACCCAAGCGGTGTTTTTCTCGACGGCGAACAAAAATACCGCAGTGCGACCCTACCTAGAAGTTGGAGCCCTTAGGAAAGCAGCATTAGTTGCTATGCTATGCTATGCTATGCTATGCTATGCTATGCTATGCTATGCTATGCTGCGCTATGATATGCTATGCTATGCTGCGCTATGCTATGATATGATATGCTATGCTATGCTATGCTATGCTATGCGATGTCATGCTGCGCTGTGCTATGCTATGAAATGCTATGCTGAGCTATGACGTGATATGATATGCTATGCTATGCTATGCTGCGCTATGCTATGCTATGCTATACTTGACTATGCTATGCTAGGCTATGCTTTGCTATGCTAAGGCAGCGCTGCGCTATGCTAAGTAAAGCTAAGCTAAGCTAACCCTCTAGGCAGAGCCTAGGTAGGGAAGTACACCCATGCTATGCTGTGCTATGCTGCGCTATGCTATGCTACGCTATGCTATGCTGTGCTCTGCTGTGCTAAAGCTCAGCGAAGCTAAGATGAAGGTAAGCTAAGCTAAGATAAACCTGAGCTAAGATGAAGCTAAGCTAAGCTAAGATGAAGTAAGCTAAGCTAAGATGAGATAAGCAACGCTAAGCTAAGGGGACGTAACTGGGGGAACCGCGGGGCGGATACCGGGGAAACCGCCCGGGGCGCGTTCCACTGCCCGGCCCCTTTAAGATAGAGAGCAAGAACCCTTCTAGGCAGAGCCTAGGTACGGAAAAACGAGAATCGACATCGAAATCGAAAACGGCCCACGAAACGCCAAAACACCGATTAGGTCCACCCCTGTGTGTGTGTGGGTGGGTGGGTGGGTGGGTGGGTGGGTGGGGGGGTGGGGGGGGGAGGGCGCTCTCGGGCTCCGTGCGGCCCCGCTCGGGGCCGTCTGGGGTCAAAAGAGTGGCGAGCGCCGATTGTGCACGAACGCCGGGCAGATGTTTAGCTGGGGCCACCTTGGGGCCTCTTGAGCCTGTCCTGGACGTACGCCGCGAAAGACGGACGACGACGACGACGACGACGACGACGACGGACGACGGACGACGGACGACGGACCACGGACCACGGACGACGGACGACGGACCACGGACGACGGACGACGGACCACGGACGACGGACCACGGACCACGGACGACGGACGACGGACCACGGACGACCGACGACGGACCACGGACGACCGACGACGGGCGACGGACGACGGACGACGGACGACGGACGACGGACGACGACGACGACGACGACGACGACGTACGCCATCGCCATCACCATGGGCTGTTCGACCGAGCCAGGGGCCAGACAATCGCGCGTGTGCGCGGACGGGTTCCCCCCCCTCGGACACCACCCACACGAGGTCGACGAGCGCCTGGAAATATACCCGCTGATCGGAAGAAGTGGGTAAACATGTAAAGTAGGAAGGCGGATCAAGTAGATCGGGTTCAGGCCCTCCCAGAGAATTCTTGAAGTAGGAAGGCGCTAGAAGTACATTGGGATCAGGGAATTCAAAAATCAGAGTGAAGGGGCCGAACGGTCATTCATTATCCCTGGGTGCGTGGCTGAATGGGGAATTCGTGGTGAATACTCTGCTTGTTGCGTTGTTGTTGTTGATGTTGTTGTTGTTGATGGTGTTGTTGTTGTTGTTGCTGTTGCTTGTTGTCGTCGTCCCACCCAAGACCCACCCGCGACCCACCCCGCGACCCACCCGCGACCCAACCCGCGTGGTGTTGCTGGTGTTGGTGTTGTTGTTCATCGCCCTCGCCCGCAACCCACCCGCGACCCACCCGCAACCCACCCCGCGACCCATCCGCGACCCACCCGCGACCCACCCCGCGACCCACCCGCGACCCCACCCGCAACCCACCCGCGACACACCCCGCGACCCACCCGCGACCCACCCGCGACCCACCCCGCGACCCACCCTCAAGGGAGGAAAAACCACCTGGACCCGACAATTCATGCTTATAAACGGCCCTGGACGGTTAGTGAACACCCCTGCCCTGTTCGATTCATTCTTTGTGCGTTTACTGAACGGCTTCGCTTGCCGGGGTGATTATTATGGGGTGGATTTTCTGCCCTTTACACCCGCGACCCACCCGCGACCCATTTGCGACCCACCCGCGACCTATCCACATTGGTTTAACGAAAAAATCGGCGCCTGCGGCGGGCTCGTTGCATAATCTGTGAAACTTTGGCGCCTGCGGCGGGCTTCTTCCGAGTATTGCAAACTGCCGACGCCCCCTCCGCCCCCTCACTCTTATCCGCATCTGCGGGGTGCTACGTACCTACTTCCAGCGACCGGCGTACACGCCCCAGGAAGCCTTTCGAGGACTCCAAAGGTGGCCCCGAAGCGCCCCCGCCTCCGATAGCCTTCCGTGATGCTTACGAGAGGCACCGCAGGGAACCCTTGCGTGCATCCAGGTGGCTTGTGGTCCACGACCCAGGCAGGCACGGCGGCGGGATGGACAGCAGGCCACCAGATCTGCCGCTCCGTGTTGATGTACATATCACAAGGAGGAGGAGGAGGAGGAGGAGGAGGAGGAGGAGGAGGAGGAGGAGGAGGAGGAGGAGGAGGAAGAGGAGGAGGAGGAGACCTGGCGTGCCAGGGTTCTGGTGGTTTGTGGCTCTTTTTGAAATCCCTCTGGGGCTTCGCCCCGGCCCGACGGCCACCCGAAGGACTCTTCCAGACGCGTCGCTCGGCGGCGCTTCCGCTGAAAACGGCCTCAAGACGGCATCCAAGACGGCCACGATGGCCTCCCAGATGGCCTAGATGGCCCCAATAGAGCCCAAGATAGCTCCAAGATGGCCACCGAGATGCCTCCGAAACCGCGCAGATGGTCCCAGGGAGCTCTCGATGTCCAAGAAGCGCCCAAGAGGTCCCCAAGAGGGCCCAACAAGCCCCCAAGAGGTCTTACAGCAAGGCCCGAACAGGCCAACAACATCATTCATGCTCTTGGATTTTTTGTTATAAGCGATGGTTTTCGCATGTGTTTCAAGATTGTCCTCCGACGGCCCAGGATTGCCCAAGAGGCCTCCAAGGTCGCCCAAGAGGCCTCCAAGAAGGTTCCCCGACGGCCCAACAAACCCCCAAAACGGCCCCAAGAGTGTCACGAGACGCCTCAAGAGGCGCCCAAGACGCCCAAGATGGCCTTCAAGACGGCTCTTCCGAGCTCAACAGGCCCCAAATGTTAGCAACATGTCTCTTATATGGCCCGAAATGCAACGAAAACGGCCCACATTGGCCCCCGGATGGCCCAAGACGGCCCCCAACCGGCCCAAGATGCCTCCAAGAGCTCCCTCAGAAAGGCCCGCAGAAGCCCCAATCCCTGATTTGCCATGTGTCTTTTGCGCGATGTTGGCATTTGTTGCTTCATTGCCTTCCGACGGCCCACGGCGGCCCAAATGGTATCCAAAATCGCCCCGAGATCACCCAAGACGCCCTCCGGATGGCCCCACGACAGCCCGGGAGGCCCCCAAAACGGCCTCAACAGGGCCTCGGACAGCCCAAGAAACCCCCAACATGCCCGAGATGGCCTCCAATACGGTGAAGCGGGCCCAACAGACCCAAACATAGCCGCACAAAGCCTCCAAGACTGCCATCTAAACCGTCAGAGTGGCCCACGACGGCCCACTAGGCCCACGAAAAGGCCTCCAGGAGGTCCTCCAGGAAGGCCCGAAGATGCCAAATTCAACGATTCCACTTTGATCGTTCACTGATTTCAATGAGACAGTAAGGGCGCAGGGCTTGACCGTGAAGTAGTTCGCTGAGAACGCTACTTATAAGGTAACTTCGGCGACGTATCGAAGCATCCCACAGCTCACCCTTTGATGGCAAGCAAAACGAGAGGTAAGAGAGAAGCAATGGGATGGAGAGGTAGAAAATAGATAGACGTGGCCTTTGTTTGATGCTATGATCCCAAGAGATGCGCACAGGGTCGCGCACCTCGCAAATATGACAGCGCTGCCATGAGCCGAGACAGCATCGGATATAGCGTTCGCTACACAGCCTCTCCTTAAACCTCGTTTAAAGTCGGGGGGAAGGGCCGAACGCTAGATCCACGTCCTAACGAATTTAATAAAGTAGAGAACGATGAGGATACTGTTGTTTAACATCCCCAACAGAACACAGTAACAAGGCAAAGAACAAGCAACACAAAGTACTAGGGCCGATCGTGGCGCATTTCCACGACCAGCCGCAGACGATCATGGGCAGTCGCGGGCAGGACCGCGTGACTGCCCACAGACAAGTTGGGGGGCGTCCAGTCAGTGGGCCGGACGTCAAAGCGCGCAGCGTGTGAGGGGATATGACCAAGCGATCAGACCCCCTCAAAAAGCTAAGAGAGAGAGAGAGAGAGAGAGAGAGAGAGAAAGTAATGCCCGTGTCCGGAAGGCCGAGAAGAAGCAAATACCACCATGCTTCGGAAACCTACGGGAAATCAACGATTGTGCCTCTTCGTGCCTTCCTGGAGAACCTTTCCGATGCTTTATGGGCCGTCTTGGAGGTCTCTTGGGGGCCTCTTGGGCTGTCTTGGGCCATCTTGAGGCCGTCTTGGGCCGCCTTGGGTGCACCTTTGGCCGTCTTGGGTGCATCTCGGGGCCATCTTGGGCTCTCTTGGAGCCATATTGGCCGTCTTTGAAGCATCTTGGAGGCCATCTTGGGCCATGTCGGCCGTCTTCGAGGCCATCTTGGGCCGCCCTGGGAAGCTTCTTTGTGGACCTTGAGGTGCCTGTGCGTCCTCCCGGGTGGCCAGCGGGCTGGACCAAAGCCCCGGGGGGAGCCTTGAAACAAA